GGTGGGGAAACAGAGGCAGGAGGTGAAGCCCTTTGCTGAAGGGGTTGAGGGCTGGTACCTGTCTGGGTGCTCCCACTGCCACCTGTACCAGGGTGAGACCCCAAGACAGCTGCTGTGGGGGGACAGGGAAGCCCTTTCCCAAAGGACTGCTGCCACAGAAGTGACAAGGCCAGACCCTCCCCGTGGGACACCCGGGGAGCAGGGGACTCTCCTCAGGGATGAACCCCGGCCTGCAGCAGCCCCATTGCAGGGTGGATTATCCCGAGCTCCAGCCAGAGCAGGAACCCAGGCACAGGCAGATTAAGTGACCCATGGGAAGGGTCAGGGAGCGGGTCATGAGCTGGGCCAGGAGCTGCACCTTGAGCCCCCAGTCTGGCTGCCCCAGGGGCTCAGAGCAGGGCCCCCCAGCCCCAAACACCCCCCGCCCTGGCCCCTGATTGCAGCACGTCCGGCCGGGCCCTGGGACCAGCTGCCATTTCTCCTGCGGTTTGGGCCAGAAATAGGGTGATGGAGCAATGCTGCCCTTGCCCAATGCTGCGGTGGGGGCAGGGGGCTCTGCTGACAAAGGCCCTGCTCCCTGCACTGCTCTTTTTTTTTTTTTTTTTTTTCCCTTTTAAATAAACCCTGTTAGTTCAGCTGTGCCGAGAGAGAGGGGAGGCGGCCGCCACCTCCGCAGCCCTTGAGTCAGCCCGGGGGGCTGGGGCGTGGAGGGAATAGGGCTCTGGGAGGGCCAGGGGTGGGGGGAAATGAGGCTCTGGGGGGGTCGAGGCATGGAGAAAATGCGGCTTTGAGGGGGACACAAGCAGGTGATGACCCAGCTGTGGGGAGCCAGCCCAGCTCCCGAGACAAGGGGTGTCGGGGGCACGGTCCAGCTGGGTGAAGGCACTGGCTGGGCACCTCAAGCAGCAAGGATGTGTCCCCTGTCCCTGAACCTCATTAATCATCCTGGGTCTTGTTTGGAGAAATGTCTCCACGAGTGCTCAGATGCCGGGACCAGCACCTGTGAGCACCCAGGCGTCTGGCTGGGGGAGGCACTCGGCGGCTAAGCCGCTCTCGCCGAGAAGTCCCTGACCTCTGGCCAGGGATCTGGTGGGATTACAGCCCCGGGAATGCTCCCTGAGCTCTATGAGCCAATTACTGTGCCGGATCCCCGGCTGGGAGCACCCCTTGGCACGCCGGGCAGCGCTGCAGGGTGACAGGGGCGACGGCTGAGCGTGGGCTGAGCGGGGAGGACGCAGCCCTTTTCCCGGGAGGGGTCCACTGGTGACTCCCCCACTGCTCCCGAAGTCCTGTCCTGCTCAGATCCTGTCCTGCTCAGATCCCCTCTTGCCTGTGTTATCTGCTGCTGGCCTGGCCAGGCACCGCAATCACCTCCCCGGCACAGCAGCGCCCAACCGGGGGCCCCAGGGCACTCCCCCTTATCTGGGAGCCAAACTGCCTCTGGGTGGGGGGCAGTGGCCCCCGGCCGTGTGATGACACTCGGGTCCCCCTTCCCTGCGCAGGGGCCCCCTCGCCCTCCCTGGGGGCGGCTCATCCGCTCGGCTGCCTAATGCAATAAAGCTCTAATCAATATTTTAAAGAAAGTAAATGGACCCTCCCGCCCTCGTTAAGAGGCCACAGGGCCCCTGCTCAGGCCCCACGCCCCCAGCTGGCTTTGGGCTTTGAAAAGGAGAATAATCCCCGGGAGAAAGGGGTTCAGAGGGGATCCCCCACGCCTTAAGCAGCTCCTAGGGGATTCAGAGGAGGTGCGGGCTCTCTGCTCCTCCAGACCCTCCTGGAAAATCCCAGTTCCACCAGCCATGTGCGCAGGGCTGGTCTGGGTGGAGGGGGCTCCGGTTTCACCCACCCCCGCAGCCCTGCCGAGGTCGCTGAGTTGCTTTCGGTTTATTTTTCCCCCACCACTGCACTTTGAAACGCTGTATCTCGGGGTGCGCTGCACCACCAGAGATAAGGGCTGAGGTTTTCGCGCCTGTGTGCCACCGGCACGGCTCAGATGTCCCCAACATAAGAAACTTCTTGTCCTACTAAAGCACCAGCGCCCCCCAAAACCCCCCGGCTGGCACAGCCTCCCACTAGCACTGTGGTGACTTCTTAAATCCGTCCTAAAGCAGAAATGGGGTGTTAAACATCAGCCTGAGGCAGCCACTGCAGGACACCCCAAAAGGGAGTACCCAAAATGGAGAACCCCAGAGGGAGAGTGGTGGCTGCTGCAGCCAGATGAACACAGGGAGACGGATTCCTCGAGCTCCTGCAATGTGGGACGGGGAACTGGCATGCAGGGTGCCCGTGCCTGAGGGAGCACCAGCAGCCCAGGAAACTCCAAAAGAGGCAGAGGCTGGAAACTCCAGCTCCAGGGGCTGCCACTCCACCAGGGGCTCCTACTCCTGGTATTAGCGGGACGCAGTAATAGCAGTAATGAAACAGAAAGATCAGAACAGGGATCTTGGGGGGCAGCAGCAGCAGAGCCCCCACAGTGCTGGGGTACAGAACTCCGAGCACTTCTACCCCCAGCAGCCCTTTGCTGGCAGGAGCTTGCTGGATTTTTAGCCATTTCCCATGGGGAGCCTTTTCCCACCCAGAAAATGTCCCCTTTTCCCCCCACCCCGAGGAGCCACGGTGCCCTCGGCAACCGCTGCCCCGAGTTCCCAGTGTGCTGGGGGCTCCTTTGTTCTGCTGCCCGCGCCGGCAGCGCCCGGGTCAGGCTGAGCTGACCTCTGCCTGTGCAGTAGCCGTCCCCGGGGACGGGGAGGTGCCACGCGCCGGCTCCCTAACCTCCCTCACCTCCATAACTCTTCCTCACGCCCTCCCCTTCCTCCTCCCTTGAACTGGGCCCCATCCTCCTGCCTCCGGCCCCCCACGGCTCAGCCGAGCACCAGTTCACAGGAATCTGTCCCAGATGGGTCAATAAAACCTGGCAGTGGAGGATGGGGGCAGCCCCTGGCTGCCAGGGTTTGGGTGTGGAGACAGGCATGGGGGCTTGGATGGCGGCACTGCCCGGTGAGGACGGTGTCCTCAAGCACAGAGACCCACGGGCTAAGGATGCCAGCGGCACCAGCACAACCAGAGCTGAATCCAAACTGGATCTGAACTCCCAGCAGAGAGAGCTGGACAGACAGGGAAGTTAAAGATTGGTGGGAGAGCAGGGGTGCTGCCGGTGCTGAGGAGCTCCTTGGCAAAAATAAAATCAACCTCAAAAGAGCCCATAGCAAGCAGGCAGAACACTGGCACAGCACCACATCCCTGCTGGCTCGCCCACACGGAGACCCTGCTGTGCTCTGGCATCCCAGAGCTGCCGGGGTTCCCCCTAAGGCGCCTCCACTGCAGCGAGGAGCGGGGATGGGGTACGGCATCCCCTGCCCCGTGCTGCCCTCGCTGTTTACATTCCTGCTGCTCCTTCCCAGGCTGCGCCAGCTGGGCTGGGATGGAGCCCAGCGGCACGCGCTGGAGGCCGGCCAGGAGGAGCTCCCGGCCAGCACCGGCTGCGCCAGCAACCCCCTGGCCCCGGTCCAGGGGCCGCGATCCAAGCACGGTCGCACGGGCTGACGTGCCGGGGAAAGCCTCTCCGGGCCCAGCGCGTCGCCTCCGCTCCTCCGCCCACGGAGGCTTTCCAACCCCCTCCGGCTGCTTCCAGCGTTCACCAGCGAGCAGGGCTCTTCCCAGGGACCCCAGCAAGCGACATGGAGGGAGAGGGAGTGCTCAGGGAGAGGGGCAGGGCTTGGGGGGCAGGGGAAGTGCTGGGAACGGGGCTGGCGTTCCCAAGTGCTGCAGCTGCGATAGGGGACCTGGCAGAGGCTATGGCCTGGGCCACGGCACTGACACGCTGACGAACAGGAAGATCACAGTTGCGGTATTGAAAAGCCTTTTCACAGCTACGAGTTCACGGCCATGGCCCCTCGCTCCCCGGCGGCAGGAAGCACAAGAGAGAGAAACCACAAGAAGAGCAGGTAGCCTGGGTGCAGCGGCACGAGGGATGCGCAGGGCAGGAGCGTCCCTCCATCCTTACAGCTGGACAGGAGCATCCCTCCATCCCTCCATCCCTGCAGCACCAGGAGGATGGCCACATGCTCCCCGCTTGCTGGTGCTCCCTCTGCCAGCCCTGTTCTGAGCCTGCCCACATCCACATGTGCCAGCAGATCCCGGCAGCCTCTTCCCCCATTTCGGAAGGGATACGACAGCCTCCTGAAAGTGAAGGGGCAGAGGTGGTCGCATCCCTCCTGAAAGGCCACCATGCCCTGGCCGCTCCATCTGGGTCCCATCTGCTGCTGCTGGTCCTGCCCCTTCCCCCAGCCCCAAACTCTGATGTATTTAAACACACATCAAAGGTGCCGGGCAGCCCCCAGGGAGCCCTGGCTGCAGCACGTTTTCTTCTATCAGTGAGAGCAGACTGCAGCCAGCTCTGGCACCAGGAGAGTGGGAATGTGCTGGCCTCGTTGCCTGGGGAAGGCACTGAAGAGGGCAGCCAGGTGCTTTCTCCCTGGTTTCACTTTTTCATGGAATTTTGGCAGCAGCAGGGGTGCAGCTCTGCCCCCCACCAAGCTTCTATGGGGCCAGAGTTGTCCTGCCAGGCATCAGCTCTGTAGAGATGGGGATGGGAGACTGACAGGTCCCCAGGGAAAACGGCTTGGGGAGAGTGGAGAAGAGGAAAACCAAGAGATTCATCAGATTTGCAAATCTGGGGTGATTTTTTCATAATTTTCACCAAGAATCCTTCCAGATCCCTGCAGCAAACCCAACTGCACTGCCTGCCTGTACCAGAACAACCCGGACACAGGATCCATTCAGAGTCACCCAACCAGGGAAGGGGCGAGACTGAGCCCAGCACTAAAACCCCGGAGAAATCCCACGCATTCCTAATGACAACAGCAGCTGGATCCGAGGAGAACACTGCCGGAGGCGGCGCTGCCAGAGGCATCTCCCCACGCTCGTGAGGACACAGGAGTGCACAGGAGCAGGGAGAGGGGCGGCACGGCAGGGACACGCGTGTCTCGGTGGGCACATACCTGCTTGAACTGCTCCTCGTAGGTCCAGTCGCCGTGGTCAGGTGCTGGTGGCGGGGGCTGAGTGTGGCCCAGGCCGGGGGGCAGCCGCTCCTGTCCCCCTGGCAGCCGTGGGGGCTCCCCCCGGTAGTGCTGGGGTGCCGGGGGCTTGCGGAGCAGCAGGGATCCCGCACCCGCCCGCACCGCCTCTGCTGAGCTGAGCCCTTCCTCTCCCATGTCTTCTTCTTCCTCATAGTCTTCCTCTTCCTCCTCGTCCTCTTCTTCCTCTTCCTCCTCACCCAGGTCCTCTTCAAAGTCATCTTCATCCCATTTGCCCTTTCTGGAGCCAGGAGGAGAGGAGAGGTTTGGTCCCACGCTGGTTTCCAAGGCTCATCCCTCTCTCCCCTACCTGCCCCAGCTGCGGGGCTGGGACCACCCACCCAGCACACAGTGGAGCCCCAGTACAGCCCATCGGTGGGGGCAGCTCTGTGGGGCATGGCCAGCCCCCAGTATCCCAGGAACAGCTCTGTCACGGACCTCTCCTCTGCCAGATGGCTCCTGGCCCTGCCCTGCCCTGAGAGGATGCATGCTGGAGACAGCCAAGGGTCCTGCATAATTTAACACCAGCCTGGGGTCCTCTGTCCCAGCCCCACGTGGCTGCTGGGCAGAGATGGGATGTTGTGCCAACCCAGCACAAGGAATCACTGCCACAGAGCCGAGCCACTGCCCTCAGCACCTCCTGCTCTGAAATATCCCAATAGCTCTAACCCACAACCTGCCCCAAGCCACAGGATCCCCACAGCCTCCCCAGCACGCTGTGCCCAAACCCACCAGTGTTGTGCCACTTCCCTGCCCCTTCCCCAAACCCCTGAGAGCTGCCCGAGCACACTCACAGCTCCTCCTCCTCCTCGGAGCCCATCTCCTGCTGGTACCCGCCACCATCTTCCTCCTCCTCGCCGCGCTCCTCCTCTTCCTCCTCCTCGGAGGCTTGGCTCTCATCCGACAGCCCCGGGCTGGGCGAGTGGCTGAGGCCGGCAGCAGCCGCCCGCATGGCAGCCAGGGCGGCCATCTGTGCCCGCTGGATGTGCGCGCTCTCAGGCTCCGCTCCCTCCTCCGAGGGCGCCGGTGCTGCCTCCTGCCCACGGCCCCGGGTGCTGGCAGGGAGCTGCCCCGGGGGCTGCGAGGGCTGCGCCGGGGGGGACGTGCAGCGCGGTGGCTGCTGCTGCTGCTGCTGCTCCTGCTGCCGCGCTTCCAGCGCCTGCTGCAGCCGCGCGCGCTGCTGCCGCTGCAGGTTCTCCATCACCGCCTGCAGCTTCATGGCTCTGCCGGCAGGCGGGGGGTCCCCCGGGGGCCGGGGGGCGATGCACCCGGGGGGCAGTGCCCGGGGGGCAGCGCCCGGCAGGCTGCCGCGCTCCAGCGGGGCTGGGGGCCAAAGCTGGGCAGCGCCGGGGGGAGGCAGCCCTGGAGGGGGCTGCCGGGGGGTGAGGGCAGTGCCGTCAGGGCAGGAATTGACACCGGGTTAGGAAAGAAGGATGTGGCCCTTGACCCCTCTCAGGCTTGGTCCGATGTCTCCTTGGCTTAAGGGCTACGGTGTGTCGCAGGCTTGGTGCTGCCCGGTGGGGTTGGGGTGCTGCTGTTGTCAGGGAAAGTGTCCCAGGCAGGCTCCAAAACTCCTCCTCAGGCTCAGCAGGCAGCAGCTGGAGCACGGCACATCACCCTTTCTCTCGCAGACCTGGCACTTTCTGGGGGTGGCAGCCTCAGGGTCCCCTGCTCACAGTCGGTGTCCCTAATCCTCAGCTGGGTCAGTGTCCAGCAGGCGTCAGCGCAAACCTGTGGGAGAAGTAGAGCAGAGGGTCAGTGGAGCTGTGGGCAGGAGCTGGTGAGCAGGAAGGAGTTAAAGACAGCGCAGGAGCCTCATTAATCTCGAGCTAATGAGATAGGGCGGCCGGGCCTGCTGCTGGAGGGGGAAGGGGCCTGCCGGACCCGATAGCCCTGCCCGGCCCTGCAGGCAGCGGATACCGGTGGACCCACGCCCGCAGATAACAGACCCTGGGGAGAGACGTCCACCGGGTCCCCCACAGGGGACAAGGCACATCCCCATCAGGGACATACAGCATGGGGAGCACTGGGCTCCCCGGTGATGGCACTGGGGCTTGGGCAGCACTGGGGTCTGCGCTGCACAGCGGAGGGGCCCCAAAGCACCCCGGGGCAGATCCCAGGGGATGGACAGGCAGAGCCTTGAAACCCGGGCAAACAGGCTCTGCCAACAGCCCCCAGAGCCCCCTTGTTCCCCTTCCCTGGGGGGCCTCCAAGGCAAGGTGGGGCTGCAAGCAGCTCATCTGTGCTGTGCCTCACTGGAAAACACTGAGGGGATCAGCACATAACACTTGGGCCCTGCTGAACCCCCATACTCCAGTCTGGACCTCTTCTAGCAGTGCGCTCCCAAATCCCGGTGTGACCAGCAGCCCCGGTGAGGCCAGCAGCCCCGGTGAGGCCAGCAGCCCGATGTGACCAGCAGCCCCGGTGTGACCAGCAGCCCCGGTGAGGCCAGCAGCCCTCGCATCCAGCCAGTTCCCAGCGGTGACCTCGCCTGCACTGACGGCAGGGAAGGAGCTCACCAGGGAAGGAGCTCACCGCAGCCCCGCGGTCGTGCCGTGTACGGGCAATCCCCGGCTCAGCTGCCCGGGGGCACGCACGGCAGGACCCTCACGGGGACTGACCGTGGGGCCAGACCCAGGGGCTGCGGGGCCAGGACAGCCGGCGGTGCACAGGGCCCGGCAGCTCCGCCACGATCCCGCGCATTCTGGAAAGAGGAACCTGCTGCCAGTGTGGGCCGGGGCCGCGGCCGGGCGGGCGGGAGCCGCTTCCCCCACGCATCCGCTGCCGGCGCGGCCGGGCTCGGCTCACGCCACGGACGGACACGTCGCCACCGCCACGGCAACCTCAGCAGCCACCGCCTCCACCGGGAGCCACAGAGGCGCGGCGTAAGTGGGCCAGCAGCGCCCGTGCCTCAGTTTCCTCTCCTCCACTCGGATCAGCGCCGTTCGTCCCCCACGGAGGAGAGGTCGCGGCAGGGACGCTCCCCGCCCCGCCCCGCACCCGAACCCCGTCCCCAGCGCCATCCACCAGCGAACCGGAGCGAGACCGACCCGGGCACGTGCTCCCCGCCGCCGCCGCGGCTCTGCCTGGCCGCGACTCCCCGGGTGACACGGTGCCAGCACCGCGCGTGGAGCTGCCTCCTCGAGCACCGCGGGCCGTGGCCGCGCCGGAGCCACGCCGCCACTTCTCCACAGGGAAGCCGGAGTGGCGAGGCCACAGCCAGGGCCCCGTGGCACCCCGGTGACCTTGAGCCGTGCCCCTTTGTCCCTCCGGCCGCTCGGGGCCACGGTGCGTGCCCGCCGTGGGGCGGTGACGGGGGTCCCGCGAGGGATTCGAGGCGGCGTCACCCGCGTCCCCGGGGCAGGTGCTCGGGAGCGACAGCGGCTAAAAATAGGCAGCGGGGGTGTGACGGAAGGCCCTTTGTGCCACCGACACCGGGGTTGGGCTGGCCGCGGCCGGACACCCCCAGGCGGGCTCCCGGCATTGCCGGGAAGGGCTCCGGGGGTGTCGCGGAGGCTGAGTGAGGAAGAGGAGGAGAAGGACAGGGTGGGTGCCCGGTGGGTGCCGTCCCCGGGGACGGACGGGGCTTGGAACCCCAGGCGAACTGGAGTCCCATCCCCAAAACGGAGCCCGGCCCCGCTCCCGGCGGCACGTGGCACCGAGGGCCCTCAGAAGGACCGGGCACGGAGGCGCCGGGGCCCAAACGGGCCCTGGTCCCGCGAACGGGGGGAAACGGCGGCCCCCGACATGGAGAGGCGAGCCCGGGTCGGCCCGGCCTGGCCCCTCCGCCGTCCGGACCCCGGGAGACCGCGGGGCTGGGGGGGGGTACAGGGCGGGGCCACGGCTCTCTGCCCGGCCCGGCCAGCAGCGCCCGGGGAGAACGGAGAGTGAAGGCCGGGAACGGCCGCGGGGGAGGAACCCCAGCCCCGCGTGGGGGAGGCGGCCGGTAACCGGCCGCGGGGGGAGGGGGCGCCGCGCTTCCGCCCAGCACCGACAGCGGAGGGCCCAGCCCACCTCGGAGAGCCGGCCGGTCCTGGGCTCCGGTCCCCAGCCCCGGTCCCGCCCAGCCCCCGACTCCCGGTCCCGGCTACGGCCGCGGCGGAGGTCCCGTTCTCGGTGCCGATCCCATCCGCGGAACCGGTGCGGCGGCGCGTCTCCCTTACCCGGTGCAGGCCGTGCGCCGCGAAGCCGCATAGCAGCCGCGGCCGCCCGGGGTCGGGCTCGGCGGGGCCGGTGCGCGCGGGGCCCGCGGCGCTGCTCTCCCCGCGGGCGGGCGGCGG